GAAGCTCATTCATTCTTTGTGGCTCTTCTGTTTGTTGCTAAAGGAAAATATGCAGAATTTAAAAGCGCAAACGAAGACGAAATCGCCATGGTGGACCGTAAAATTGTGTTCCAACTTAAAGAAGCTAAGGAGAAACTTTATTTTCTCTCCGAAAAGAGATTTTTGACATTTCTTGGACGAGTCGAGGGCGGAAAACTCACAAAAATTTTAGCTTTAAGTAGAAGAATTCGTGATAGAAGTCTTGTAGAAACCGTTCGCCGCAGCTTGGGTTTGTTGCCAATGACGGACTTGTCAACAATCGAGTCTTCTGCGAAGAAGGTGAGTCAACAAGAAGTGACTTTGAGGTCAGCAAAAAAGTGCAGTTGGTTTATTCTCCAGTACTTTGGCACGAAAGTTGCCATTCAGTTTATCAATGACGCTGATTTCACGATAAAGATTGTTTCCGGCGAAGTGGGCTGGAGCCAAAGTAACATACTTCAGTTTCAAAGAATCCTTCAACCTCGGCAATCGCTTTTTATTGAGACTAACTTCGCCTTCTCAACGGCGGGGTACATAGTTCTGTATTTAAGAGGCAACACACGCAGAGTTTTCGAAKTTGCAGTTTCATCGTTATTCCAATATAATCAGAAAATAAGCATGCAAGACAGAACTGGCGCAGAGTTTTTACGTGGTTTAAATGCTTACAATGAGAGATCTCAAGACACTGTAATTATGTACTTTTCTGAAAAAGGGAAATACTACATTGCCAAAGCTGAGATTTATGTTTGTTGGCCCGATCGAACTTTGCGATTTATCATTCAAGACTTTGATCCAGAAGCTGTATAAAAAAATTAAGAACATCAACATGTATGTTTCATAGGGAATTTATAATAAAATTTCAGCTGGATCCACCCTTGCCCACCGCCCTCTGCTTCTACAAATCTTAATAAGAAAATTTCAAAATTGAATGAAAAAAAAAAAAAAATTGAGGAGGCAGGGGCGGATTCAGGGGGGGGGGGCGTGAATGGGCCGCGGCCCCCCTTTTGCTGAACAGCAATAAAAAAAAACTAACTAAAAAAGGCAACAATTAAACATCGAAAAAAAAACAACTCTTAAAACAATTTGCACATTTGACTGTCATTTTTTATTTTTTATTTGCACTTTCGAGTTGACGAAGCAAAGGCAAATTCCCGCAAAAATTTCCCGCCATTTTTGTCGACAAATCTCCCTCTCTCTCCCACCCTCCCCTCCCTTTGAAAATTCCTGGATCCGCCCCTTGGAGATGCAAATGTAAACAAAATAGAGCCATTTTCCATTTCGAGAACGAGGCTTCATGACGTCATTTCTAGGAATCCACTGTAACATGGATGTGTATTATCTTATATGAATTCCACTTTCATATTGAAAACGAGAGAAAGTTCTCATTTGTTCAGGTTTCTGTTGCTCCAAGAAGGTAGCAGGTAAGAAGTTACGTGAAACAAAAAAGTTGTGTATTAACGCCGTCATGTGCTATACCCTGTGTATCGAAAACGCTTTGAGTTCGTTTACAACGGAAGTGTATGATTAATCTCGAATCTATACAATACATAAACGTATCTATTGTAGCTTACGGTAATATGACGACTAGTTTGACGCTCTCATGTCTATGTTTGCAGTAAGGGACTTMTCACGAATTATAACATTCGAAAAATCGTATTATTCGAAGATTACTTGATTTTGTTATGATTTATGATACGGAGAGATTTCTGATAAAACCCTGTGTCAAAATAGCTAAATCCATCAAAGTTACGACTCGATATAAAAATCTATCCATGTGCTACAAGAATCTATAACATTATAAGCTATCAAATATCTGTTCGTCAGTAGGTCGTAGCAGTGTCYGTTTTCCAACCAAGGTTTTCAGTGATTTATCCAGGTATGGAGGATATAGAACCTTCATCATTGTCGCCGTTAGATCAAATTATAGCAGCTCTTCGTGCGAATATCCAGGCAGATGAAGCCTTGCCAAATGATTCAACAACGACACAATTGAAGGTACATATGCACATGAATAAGATTTTATTATCTAAACTAATTTATGCTCGTTGTAAACACTTTGATTCCAAGCTGTGCTACGTGAACTGGAAATTACCGAGGAGAGACTGGGTCGGGAGGGCTGGCTGAAAATGTCGCTGGGTAAACTCATGTGATAAGTTACTCTGCSAACAGAGCTACTCTCGGCGGGTGAGAAAAGTAGCTCTGTTCGCAGAGTAATGATAAGTTGTCTCGTGTACTTCTCCCAATATGTGTTTGCAAACTAAGGTTTTTACCTTTTACTTTTTCTTATTTATACAGATATAATATCATTTCTGTAAAGGTCTTTACAGCCTTTTGCACAAATTATGAGACATTTTTATATATATAAATATACCTAACCAAATATCAAAAACACCCAAGAAATTATGGGATACCGTCGCTGATATTTTGTCTGTAACAACCTGATGCTAGGCAATCATGACAAAATATAATAGAGATATACCATAATTTCTGGGGTGTTTTTGATATTTGGTTAGGTATATTTATATATATAAAAATGTCTCATAATTTGTGCAAAAGGCTGTACATGTCATTTGTACCATATATCATAATATCGGGTGTATCATGGGTATAATATCATGTGTTGTCGCTCTTTCTCGCTAAAACAGATCGCAATTTTAAAGGTTATTCAAGCATAATATTTCATCCATCAAAGCGTTTCGAAAAATGTCAGCTCATTGTCATCGGTACAAAAATTGTTAAATACTTTATCAGTGTATACATATCAGTGTACGTGCGTATACGTCTGGGTACGTGAATACGTTACGTTTCTAAAACATTTACGTAAGAAAAATAAAACAAGTTTTTAAAACAATCAAACAAAACAAGAACATCCGAATAAATCGTTTTAATTACATATTAATTATAGTTCTTCCCAACAGGATTTAGAGAATCATCGTGACAACGCTCAAGGCACTKCCCAAACTGATAAGCGCCAACAACGTAAAAGACAYCGGAAACGCCCAAAAGTTACTGTGCTGAAAAAACTACGAAAATTTGCAGCCAACAAAGTGAAAATACCCAAAGAGCGTTCCCAGTGGGCAAAGAAAATGGCGGACACCCACTTGGAGTATATYCGTAAGTATTGCAAAGAGAACGCGTCGAAATTCTTTAGCCATCTTGAATATACTGGAAGCTTCTATGAACACTTGAAAACAGAAGATGCTGATGAATTAGATATCATTATAGCACTTGACACCAAGGAAAATGCTGATTTGGTCATTGAAGAAGTTCTTCCTGGCTATGCAAGRATCAAAGCTACTTCAAAGTCTAGTAAATATTGGAATGAGTTCGCGAATGGTCAAGGTTATGTGAGGCCTCAAAAAATTCTGAGCTGGTTTTTCGGTGTAATTCAAAAAGCTGTTAACAAGTACAAAGAAACAAAAACAGAAAAGGATTCTGTGCTTAAAGTCTATGACAATGGTCCAGCGATCAAGCTTGTCATCAACGATAAAGCCAACAAGATGAAATTGTCCGTGGATCTCGTACCTGCCTTTCTCTTCAAGAAGAAAATATATGGCGCTTCGCATCCCGAGAGCAGACATTATGTGGCGAAGATTTTACCCGAGGAACTGGCCTCCAAGTTTAAGCTCCCTGAAGGTTGTGCACGACAGATGCTTTGGAGAAGATCCTTCTCTCTAGACGAGAAGAAAAAGATGCAAAATCTTGACAAAGAAAGTAAAGGTTGCAGACGAGAAGTGATAAARATCATTAAGACAATTGTACGCAAYGATGCAACTCTTGCCAAGCTTTCGTCCTTCCACATCAAGACAGCKTTCCTTCATTACAATTTTGACGAAAGGGAAGACAACCACGATTGGTCGGGAGAGAAACTTCCAGAAAGGTTCTTTGGGATGCTGAAGTATTTACGAGAATGCGTCCAAGCAAAGAAGCTCCAGCATTATTTCATTCCYGAGTTGAACCTTTTTGAAGAGTTGCCTGATTTAACGCTTGCCAATATCGAGGGTCGTTTAACCAAGCTGATTGATAATGAWAATGAAATGAGRAAAGTTCTCTTCGTAAAGCCTAARGAAGCAGATGCGGATTCACAAAAACCAAAACAAAAGAAAAGAAGGTTGGACATTRTAACTTATTAATTCTTAAAAGATCAATGGAAACTGCTCTTCGCCAGTAATAGATTTCACTCCAACCGCCATAGTTTTTAATGATTTTATTTCAAGCGCAAGCGGCGTGCAATAATACAGCGGAAAAACAATATACTTTAAATACATACAATAAAAAAGATAAAAATTCTGTACATCAGCTAGCTTACATAATATAACAGTGCTAAAATTAGCACAAGTAACACTCATTGTAATATAATATTTGTATAATATCACGCCATTGTATCAGTTTTATTGCGTTCAAATGACTTTGTTTCTTTGGTCGAGGCATATTTGTGCGAGGACATMCCTAAACGAGTGATATTGATACCAGAACTCGAGCAGAAGCCGACGACGATGATAACGGCTTTAACCGCGACTTACATGCCACGATGTGTGATAATGGATAAATCCAGGGTGGGGCGGTAGGTAGCATGCATTCCAATTTTTATCGCTTTTGTGATGATATTTTCGCCAGTGTGCACCCCCTGGTTTTAAAAAGGGAACAWCGCTGTAATAACAGTGGAGTATGTGGATCAAAAGAGACAAAGGGAACCCAAGAAATGATTGAAGGGTGTCCTGTTCCATGACTCATCAACAGGTATGTATGTTAGGATTGGATATCGTTAGGTATAGTACAAGATTTGTGTCTTTTTCTTGGTGAAGCAGTGTCATCATCATGGCTCTAAAATAGGRAAATACATAGTTAGATCAGTAACGTCAAGTAGTGCCAAATATTGCATATTGGTCCGACGATGAAAAGCGATTTATARAGCATATTAGAGTGAAGTTATTAAACCAATGGAACAAGATTTGACTTGATAAAGTGTGATAGTCAAAAAGACACAAAAGAAAACAATGCAGTTTGAGCGTACTAAGGTGAATTAGTGTAATATCTATTTTATGTTTTTTACTTCACTCAAAAAATCATGAAATAGTAACTGATACACACCTCGTAATACTCTGTCGRTTTYCCTTTGTTTTCCATAACGCGACGTATGTGTTCATCCTCKATCTCTAACATTTCAAACGGGTTGAATGTTCCGTTACATGAAAATTCCTCTTCAAAGTCTGATATTTCTCCACTGTTTTCTTCTGAACTATCCGTTGAGCACCTCTCGTTTTSAGTTCGTTTTGYATGATTAGTGTTATTATTATATGATCGCAGRTTCACATTCCAGRTATCGGGAACCGAATTGGTTTTATTTTCAACGTCTGACTCGCAGCTACTAGCAGGGTGGGGCCCACTGTCACTCGAATTGGGTGCACCCTTTCCAACTCCTGGTATCACCATTGGTGGCGACGTGGCGCCGTTGTGAGTTAAGAAGTCGTCTGGTTCGTCATTTGATAATGTACCATTTACACCGTTTTGTAAAGAAWCGTGATTGTCATTCAAACAAGTTTTTGAACCGSAAGGTAACGTGGGACTTYTTTTAGTGGCAGGACTTCGGTCTACGCTGGATTGCGACCCTTGCCGTCTTCTTCGYTTTGATTTATAGTAACCACGATTTTTCTTGAAAGAAGAACGGTTCCTTAAGATGGACGACTCATCTTGTAAATTAACATCGATTTGGTGAGAGTTTAATAAAAGGTCTTTAGGTGGACTGCTGGAGCTACTCGACGAATTAGGACTGTCGTAAAAAGAATATTAACAAACGATTAGAAAAATAGYAAATTCATAAAAGACCTGTCCACAAGGGTCCGGACAAAACTTCATTCCGCAAGTATATTCCGCAAATCTTTCTTAAGGGATTTGCTCGTCCACACGTATCCGGATTTCAACTTATTTCTCTTGCATTTATCAACATACAAGGTTTGGAAGGAATGTGAAACCGCAAATAATCGTTCGGGTTAAAAAATATCCGGAAACGCGTGGAAAGGACTTAAGTCAGTCGATCGCATGCCCCCATAATAAAGACAACTACTCTGGCTCATTCTGACCATACTTTACTACTTACCAACTAGAACTTTCAAGTTTTGTTATCCGTTGGTGTGCAAGCATTTTTTCGACAACGGTTGCCTTTGCTCGTAGTTCGGGTTTCAGTACATTTTTATTGGATTTCCCTCGATATACTTTAAGCTGCTGYTCTCTCCTAAACATAAAAAACACATAGATCAGCAAACATTAGAACAATAAGCCAAAGTAAACACGTCTTCGACCATTTTTCTTTGAAGTCAACATCAAGCTTTACCTCATTAACTCTTTCTCCCTCAGCTCTAACTGTTCCATACAATTGTTAAGTTCTTGATAAAGGCTGTTTGCTCTTTCAAGTTTCTCTTCATAATGCATTCGGATATCCCTTGCATGCCTGCAACATTGCAAAATAATTCACTCACTTTGATCAAGAACATCACTATGTACTCTCATTGCGCACGAGCCTAAATCAATCAGGGCGCAATCGAGCAAGCGCCTGGACCAATCAGGGGCCGGCTGTTCGAAGGATTTTATGCGCTATTCACCCTTCGCACAACCGGCCGGTTATTCAATAATAGAGCAATCGACCAATCAGAGCACACGTTATATAATAGAACGCGAGACCTAACCAATCAAAGTGCTCGTTTTACAATATTAACATCTTACTTGAGTTCGTCTTTTCGTCTTTGTATAAGTTCCTCGTCAAGACGTTGTAACTGATGAAGGTTCTGTAGATTTGCACTTTCATTTCGCATCTTCTCGAATTCAACCCCAATTTCAGACCTCCAGGTAATCTAACAAGTTCARTGATACAACTTAGACAAATTTATTTTTTTGAGCCCAATTCCTTGAGCATCAAATTAACATAATTTTTAAGAGCTCCGACCACATTCATGTATTTCAATACTTTTAAAATGTTATCAATTATAATGACAATTCTCTACTTGCGCATACCCATAATACCTTCTGATTTTGGGGGGTAGTTATTGTTATTGAAATCATTTATATTTGAATAACAATTAATTTTATTTGCATCACAAAACCTACCCCCCAAAATCAGAAGGTATTATGGGTCATGTGCAAGTAGAGAATCAAAACTGTCAATCAAAGGCTCAATAATTCCACAGGTAGCCCAATCTCTACAATGGGCAGCGCCATGAAAAGAGGCTTTTGGAGCCCACATTGGTATGGCAAGGCTGAAATACTCCCAGTAATCAAATTATCAATAAATTGTGCATTAACCTGTTGATGTAAGAAACATTCTGGTGGAGTGTTCAGAACATCTGCTGCAGCAATCTCAATATGCATCAAGACTTGACGGAAAGAAGGACGATTTTTTGGTTTGCTTTTCCTAGAATCAGAGTTAATAGGAAGTTTAGTAAAATATTTTAATGTTTAAAAGTTAATCCATAGTTCCATTAAATACTCCACAGATGCCCTCCTCYGCAGGCGACGTTTTGCTTTTTCTCTATTTGGGCTCCCTGTGTAAAAAGCACTTCTCATTTTTGCTTTGACTCCTCTCTCCCTCCCTCAATGATCACCTTTTYGTCACAATTACACAGGAATCCCAGGGTGCGGAGGAAAGTACGCAGCACACTACAGTACATTTTTTTAAAATTCTTATTAATTCTTACCAGCATAGCCTCATCAACAACTGAATCCCTTCTGGACAACTTGAAGGTACTGGTAATTGAAGATTATTGCTRCCAACTCCCCATATCACAGCTGACGAATCAACACCCTGTTAAAAAAGTACAGTAAATATAAAAATGTATCTATTTATTTTAGCTCAGATTTATATTTCCATCCAAAAAGGTCCTCATTGAAGGGAAAGCCACCAAGGCTTAATAGTAACTGTGCTTTTGCTTTAATTGAGACAGCAATTTGCACGGGTAAAATAATCATGACAATAAGGCTCTTGAAATACGGTTTCCCTTTGATGCAAATTAAAGMGTGGCCAGCTGCCTTTCAAAATGCTGCATTAGGGAGCTGTTTTTTTGTCAATTTTGTTTTACCTTGTAAGGCAATTCCCCTGTCAGTAACTCCCAGAGAAGAACTCCAAATGACCTGCATAATGGGAATGAATGAGAATGGGAATGAACAGGAATAAATGGGAAGTACATGTACCGGTTAAGTTTGTGTTTTGAGTTTTTTGGTTTTGGTTCTGTTTTTTTTTCTTCTTTTTTTTGTGTCTGGTAACAGTGTTATGGACGGTGAAGAACATTCTGATATAGTTATATTCTTTTAGCAATTTACAACTGTCCTTTTTTGTCATCTAAACAAACATTACCACAACACAAGAAATTATWATGTAGTTTTTTTTCAGTCTCCCAATTATAATCTAAAACCAGTTCTGAATGAATATATACAAAAGATAAATGTGAACATTTTAGAGAAACCTTATTATTCTAAATTCTTTCATATAAACACCATGGTTTAGTGAGATATTTAGGAAATTCAACAAAGTGAAAATTAGCACTTTAGTTCTTACTTAAAAAAGATCAAGTCTTAGTTAATTAAAACCACTCACCAAATGTCAACCTTTTCAGAGCAAGGCTCATTTCTAATGACTTCTGGTGCCATCCAAGCCACAGTACCAGCAAATGTCATCTTGGCACTCTTGTCATTGAACTCTTTGCAAGTACCAAAGTCAGATATCTTCAAACAGTCATTGGAAGACACAAGAACACTAGAAATATTTGATTACCACAAAAATTAGGCCACAAGTCTTTGTAGTGTTTGCATTAAGTAAGATAGGGAAAAAATCAAAATTTCAATGGGTTCAATTGGATGAAAAGCAATATCTTTTTATAATAATATAACATTAKTAAATTATTATGATTAYATCATTATTTYATCAGGTTTATTCCCATTTAAAATATACATATATCATAGTAATGACACACATAGATTTAACTCTGAGGATGGTCAACATTGGCTGAAAGCTCAGTCTTTATAAAAGTATAGTCCCCCTCACAATCATTTTTTTTTATCTTTTAGCCACTTTCCAATTCCTATTGCTCAAGGATGTTATGGCTCAAGACATCAGCTGTTTGTGTTGTGCAACAAAAATCAATTGGAGTGAAGATTAACTTTTTATTTCTATGAATACTCATGTAGGATGGAATTTTGAAATATGTAATTGCTTTTAGTGATATTTATACTATTGTCATGCAAGAACAGGGAGCTAATTATTTTGAATCAATTTAGAAGGATGTCAAATTGCATCTATTTTCTCAGAAGCTAAGTAAGGGACACAGGAGTTGATCTGTTATTAAGAGTGGCTCATGAGGTTTCAGTGCAGGGTGGTGCAGTTCAAAGACATAACCACACAAGAGACACAAATTCATCTGTCAGGGGGTAGGTGGAACRAGTACTTKTCACCCTCTGGTAAAATTTACTCTCCTCRAAAATCTCTCAGGAACAACACACCCCTAATGCATTGGTTATTTAAGAAATAYAAWRTGGCACACATGTCTCTGTCCTTTGATATATACATGGCCGTTAGCCAATCAGAGCATGCGTTATATATCAAAAATTTTATAAATAGCCTTTATAGGATAAGATTTTAGGCAGCAATGTATACAGCTGATATCGTATTATCGTATTATCGTATTATCGTATTAAGGCATGGATCACGGCACTGACAATATGGTCATAGAACCTTTTCTTTTTCGCAACATTAAATGAAAATATTGATTCAAGAGCACATCACTTCCATGGCACAGTACTGTCATGACACCGAAGTAAAATGTTCATTTTTGCAGCCATAATTTGCTCTAACCAACCATAGTTTAATATCCCCGTAAAACAATAAAYAATCAAATTCCTTACTTTGGTGACTTCAGGTCACGATGAATGATTTTATTGCCATGTAAGTAGTGCATGCCATCAGCAATCTGTGTTGCCCAGTGAACTAATAGTTTTGGCGTAACTTCACGTCCATCTCTCAGTACTTCAAAAAGCTGTCCACACTGGCAGTACTCCATTACAATGCAGTAAACTGGTGGTTGGTTACAAACACCTCTGATATAATAAATGAAGTATTAGATATAATAATAAATATTTAGATGATAAGAAATGATTTACGATTTTTTAGTCTGTGTGGTTACATTTAATTTTGTAAAAAACACAAAAAATAACACCCTGCCACCGACATTAAAGAATCAAATAATGTTTAATATCTACGATTTTTATTAAAAAAATCACCCATCGTTTTATATCATAGAATACCTATATACTTACGTGTATGTAATACAGTGATATTTTTACATATGAGTAATGCACTGTCTTACCTTATATGTATATCAAAAATTGTCAGCGAGCGAAACATTGTATTTTAACAGACGAAAACGGAAGTTCAAGTGTTGAAAGCATCGCGATCTCGTCATATCGTTAAAAATCACTAAAAATAGATATCTTCAAATCACTATAATCCCTAAATTTATAGTTATAAAACCACTGTTTGATTTAAGCTAGAATTTCAAGAATAAAATATATAATTTTTTTATTTCGTCTAGATTACGTGAAGCTTCGCTTGTCCAGCTGCTTTTCGAACAYCAAAAAGATTGAAACACTTCAAAACGAAGAATAGAAATCAAGTGTTAAAATGACAGCAAAATCAAAAAGATAGTATAATCAATGGTATTTCAGTGTTTTGGTATTAAGAGGAAAATACGACCACACGTTACCGGCAAAAAAGAGCAAAAACATGAACTTCAAAACATGGGCCACAGGTTGGCAACAAGTCATGTAGAACACGGAAATTTTTGACATTACTGGATAAATTATGAGAAATACAATTGAAATTTAAGCTATAATTACCTGAATCGGACAATATTTGGATGATTAAGGTCACGCAGATGCTTTATTTCAGTRTCTTTTTCGTTCCGGACTTTCTTCACCGCGACTTGCTCAGACCCGTAGACTCCTAAAAACACAGCWCCYTGAGCGCCAGAACCGAGCCATTGTAGCTCCCGAATATCCTCAAATGGTATAATCCAGTCGTCGCCATTTTCGTACTTATGTGCTTTGCCTATTAGCTTCCATACTGGTCGAAGACATCCCAGTAAACCTTGAACTATGCCAGTAAGACTAGAAGCTGAAGTTGACGACGTTTCCGTGCGACGATGATCTGACGGCTTTTGATCGGATTCATGTTTCGCGGTCGATTCTCTCTTCACCGCCTGATTTTGTACCGTACAAGCTGGCATTTCAGTAGTTTTGAATATGACAGCGTTGTCTTGAATGTTTTGGTCATCGTGGTTCATTACGATTCTCTCTCTGTCTTGGTTTAACTAGTAATCCACGGCCGATCCCCATTTTTCTGTRAACCCTCCTCCTGTTCGATAAGCACGTGGCCAGCGCTCTATAATAACTGCAATCTTCTTCATTCGGTCGATTCAGCAAACTCCAATACACGTCCTAATTCATTTTCGTTTGAATCCCAAACATCACAACTTCCTAACCAAACTCTAAATTCGATTTTCTAGAATATTATTTTCGTCGAATATGGCCTGAAACATCATGTGACTTGTAGCTGTTATTGACAATGTCAACATTGAATCGACCAATCACAGAGTTTGAAGCAGGTGGATTGAAACAAAAGAAGCCAACTGAGTGGAGCATACTAAAAAAAGCCAAATAATGTTAATTGCTGGTTTATTGGTCCCAATAACTGCCACCTAATCTTTAGGGTACCGGCAAAAGACTTCTTGATCTCTGGGCGCCTTTTAGATAGATATTGCTACGCTTATATTGAACTCCGAGATAACTAAGGCCGATGACAAAGACCTAATTCGACGTGAAAGCTAATCATAGAAAATCAAATCAAAAACTGACAGTTAACCGTGCGGCTTTTCGCTTAATAAATGCAAGTTTTTCATTCCAGTGTCAAYGAACGACAGGTAAAACTCTCAGTTTTAACATCAATATTCATACCCCGGCACTTTCGGAGTTGGTGGTCGAGTGTTAACGCATCCCCRAGCGTGAAGTGTTTGGTGAGCGTGAAGTATGTGCGTGACGTTACTGCAAATGTGACGCGCATCATAACACACGCTGTTATCAAAAATCACTTCATTTCAAAACTCAAAAATGACTAAAATGCTTAAAATGCAAAAAAAATCATTTAATCCCATTTATGTATTTCGTTTTTGCGGGGAGATTGGTTCTCATTGTTCCGCGGTAAAAGATTAAATATATCACATTTTGAAAGATAATGGGAAATTCTGGCGTGAAAAAAAAAACCCTGAAAGGCGCTTGAAGGAACATGGACGATGGACACGATGGTCGCATATCACCCTAAACATGAGCGTGTAAGCMACGAGCGCCCGGTTGGGGAGTGGGGAAGGGAAGTGTTTAGCGCTACGATTGGAATCGGGATTTTCATTTCTTTGCTCAAGGCATAGGTGCTTGCAAAACAAATAAGGAAAAAGTATGGATAGATTTTATTATTTCGCATTTCAGTTTGTTCTGAGTATATACAATAATCAAGGAGATCATTAGACTTGCGCGTCAAAATTTTTTTCAACGGAAACGATTCTCGCTCTGAGAAAAAAATATTGCCTTGTCGACGTTTCTCTGTTTAGACWTCTCGGAGCTCGAGCAATAAAAGACATGTAGTCTCCTGGCGAACTCCTGGGGTGAATCGGCCAGCCACTTCGCATACCTGTATATGTAGCACGTGACGCTAGCTTTTGCTCTCACATTCTAATAGATTCCAAATTCAGTTTTCCAAGATAAAAATTGCTAAATTCAGCTCTAGTAATTAAGGTATGTATATAGCTAGTACAGTTAAAAAAAACAACGACCACAAGAACAACAAATAAACAGTAATGACAACAACAACAGTGCGGAAAACAGAGCAAATCTCGTTAAGTGGGCTTGGGATACCTGTGTATACTTAGCCCGCGCACATAAAAAAWACAATCAGAGCACTGGAATTCTAAGTCATATTAAACATACATACACAACAAAATTTACATGTAAAAGATCATAAATATAATATATATACAGTAATAATATATTTGGAAAATGGAAAATTTGATTTGTCTTGTAAGTTATTGAGCTTGACCCGAAGTAGTTCATGTCACCCGGTTCTCACTTTGAAAACCATGTGAGAGTACAAATCCTTTTTTTAAACAGATAAGTACTTTTTCATCTTTTGTTTAAAATGGACTAATGAAAAATAGTTTAAAATATAAACTTACAATTGTCATGTGCCATCTTATGTCATAAAGTATCATCGAGGTCGGCTGCTTGTTTGTAGCTTGTGATTTTGTAGATTTTTGCCCATCTTTCCACAAAGTRTCACAATTTTCTACTGCTGATACTACATAACCATTTAAGGGCATGGTAAGTAGGAAAATTAGAGAATAAATATCTGTTATAGTCAAATTATTCCACACTTTGCAGGAATGCGTTGCCATCATTCAGAAACAACTATTGGGTTTCCTGTGGTTTCTCTACCCAGTCTCAATCCACATATTTGTCATTTTCAAAATCCAACATGGCGGCTCACGTGGAACTTTTGTATATAGAAATGTTARCTTATATTTAAGCGGTTATCTTTTACGAGGAAAACTAAGATATGGTAGAAGAAGTTTCAAAGGAAAAGCAATGTTCGTCATGTGCACRTTTAAAGCAGGTATTTGCATTTCTGTGATTTTTATCATCAAATGTCAATTTCATCGTCGATTCGACGTAAAACTGCACAAAATCATACAGCATTCTTTGTATTTTCTGTGTATGTATTACCTGTTTTGCGTTTGCAGTCTTACCATGAAAAGTGTAGCTCAAATGATTTTCTTTTATCGAGAGTCCTTTCGAACTTYRACTCTTTCAAGTTTTATTTTTTCTTAATTATTTTTGTTTTGTTTCTTTCAGGAATTGGAGTCCACCAAGAAAGACCAAGCTTCCACTCTAAAAATGATAAAAGAAAAGATCATCTCGACCGAGTGAGTGAGGCCGTGCTTGGTCACCAAACCGTTAATTTTTCAGTCAATAACTATGCTAGTCCGCCAAATATCTTTTAGCCCATAAAAATTACCATCATTTTCATTGCATTATCAATAGACTACTCTCAATCAACCAAAGTGCATCGGCAAAAACCACTAGTTTGTTTGAATACTTTGCAGTAGTATAACATGGATGTCCCCCCCAAAATGGTTGGACCATTGAAAAAGTGGCAACCTTGAAATATATGTACCTCAAGTCTCACAAGATGCATGTATTCTTAATTTTTCAGCAAACTGATCAAGAAATACCAAAAGAAATGTGATGATATCCTTTGAATGATTGACATCACAATTTATTAACTGACATAACAATTTTAGGGTTCACATCAAGGATTTCTTTAGAAGCCAACAACTGGTGAAATATGGCATTTGTTTTGACGTTTGGGACAGCTAGTTTAACCAAATTATTGCTGTGACGATTTYGGCCCCTTAGTATGTTTCAAAACAGACACCTACAGCATTTTCAAATTTAATGAAGCCCCTTGTTAACACTGATTTGTAATTGTGAGCAGATTACTTGTTGATCATTGTCGTAGAAGTATGAGAAACATTTATCATCATTTATCATCCATATTCATGTATGTTGCTATCCTTAATGTAAATCACATTTTGAAAAACAAGGAAAATCCTTTAAAGACCTAAACAACAAGTATGAAGAATGCAAAAGGTAATTATATAATAATATTAACTAGTGCTAACTGTGTGTTTACTGAATACTGGAGGACTATTCATGGTGACATGGTTGTTTTCACATGTGAAAGATATGGTATCATTGGATGTTTCTTGAAAATGATATCGCTTTACATATTTTTTTATTGTTTATTTTTACACTTTTTAGAATAAATGATGATTTACAAGAACAGCTGAATCGTTCCTTGGAAGTTACGGAACCACAGAAAAAGGTATCTATTGTTATTTTTTCTTGGAGCAGACTATTAACTAGATTTTATTTTAGTTTCTAAAAAAAATTGTAACTGTACATCATGTAAAGCAAATGTGTGCTTGATGATCAAKAGAGATATCATGTAGTTCTTGATTAGTATTAAGAAGATGTTTGTATCAGAAAGGTTACATGACCAACAAGTTAACATATGTATGGTACAATGCACATGCAATATGTGCAATTATAGTGTACTGCCATTTATTATGCAACACTTGTATACATAATTAAGTATGAATATGCAATATCCATAGTATTGAAGTTTAAATTTCGTTTAATTACAGAACATCAGAAGACTCCTTCAAGAGAAATTTGATTATGAAGCAAAAATACTGGAATTGAACACACAAAATACTGAGCTTCAGGTACAGTATAGGTTGAGTACTGAACTAGTCCCCATTTGTATGGTATATGGGTATTTCATTACAAAGTCATTTCCATACAAGTGAATTTGATACAATCTGATCCACTTAATACACATAGCAGCGCAAGTAAGTAGTTACTGGTTGATTATAGTATAACAGACAGTCCAGTATAACCAACCAGTAACTACAGGACTGCCAGTTATATCATAACCAATCAGTAACTACTGGACTGCCAGTTATATCATAACCAACCAGTAACTACTGGACTGCCAGTTATACCATAACCAATCAGTAACTACTGGACTGCCAGTTATATC